CTTTCCTAGAATTCGAGGGCGTGGAGTCCTGCTGGCGGGAGGTTTGGGCGTCATGACCACCGGCGGCGCGTCGGTGAAGGTGCTTCTCGAAGAACCCCAGGGGCATCCCTGCTGGTTTTCCTTAGACCGTCACCATGGCCGCCCCCGGTGCTGTCTCTCCTGCAGGTCACTCACCATCTCCGCACGCCCTCGCTCATGCTCTCGGCTGCCGGCACTATAGGCGGTCCGACTGTTCAGGGCTGGTGGTGCCCCTGTGCCATTCTTCCATCCTTGGCTCCTCGGGGTCGCTGTTACCGGTCAATGCGTTCTTTTGTTCTCTCTCCGGGTGTAAGGAAAAGATTTGTTCTCTCGTTCTCTCTAAGTGTGCGGGAACCCGTGTTCATTTTGGTTTTGCATTATCGCGCTATTTATTTAAGCCGTTTCCGTCTATTTTACCGAATTATTCAATGTTTTTTTTTCTACCCAAGAGAAACGGTTGTAATATCGGCAATAGTCTTTTCTTCTGCGATTAATTGTATTTCCTTTTAAAAGACTGTAGCTTTAAAAAACAGGTGCAAAATATTTTCTAACAATTATTTCTAGTATCCCTTCCTAAATATTATTAAACGTGGGCTTACGCACACAAAAAATATTTTTCGTTGTTTATTTCCTAATCTGAAAAGCTAATAAAAATAACTAAAAAGTAATAATACAGTTTATAAAGTTTAGATGATTTCCTTTGGACTTGAAAGTTTGAATTTGTTCATCATCATAATAGTCTCAAAGTAACAAAAACACATCACCATAAAAAAACCTTCTGCCTGTAGCGTTGCATCCACACAAAGGCCTACCTGTTTTCTTCAAGTGTTGTTTCAATAAAACTTGCAAGAAATCACCACTAACTCCTTTCCTCTCACAGTCGAAGTTACATTACAATATGCCATCAATAACCGTAAGAACAGAGAGATTCCAAGATTCCAAGATTCCAAGATTCCAATAGCATCCACACATAAACCAACGGCGTACGATGCTATTTAATTGAATACGGCAGTTTAATTGCACAGGAGATTTCGAGCATTGACATTGCATCAAGTTTACCGTCTGCAACATTCTGCAATAGTCGCGACCAAAATGGTTTTCAAGAATTAAGTTTATGCATGTAACGTCAACTGAGATATCATACATAACTAGATCACGCACGCTGTCCGTTCAATACATTGTGAATGCGTCTCCCCAGAATCTCGATTAGGCAAGCGACATTAAAGTCCCCGATTAAACAACGAAGTCACTTAAGGTATTAGATTGATTGCCAAAATAACGAATCAAAGTCACCCACGCCGCTTGATCAGTAACAAAATTATTCAAGCTGCTTGACAAATAAATAACAAAATCATGGAAGTGTCTTGATCAACTGCATAAGTAACAGAGCAGTAACGAAGTCACCCACGCTACTTGATCAGTGACAAAATCCCTTAAACTTCATGACAAAATCGCCGACGCAACTTGGTCAATGACAAACTCACTTAAGCTCCTTGATTAACAGCAGGAATAACAAAATCACAATAACCAATCCACCCCCGCCACTTGATAAATAACAAAAGTTACAAACTTGATAAAAAAAAACAAAATCACAAACAAATTTGGTAAATAACAAAAACACAAACATGATATATAACAAAATCCCAAATCTGATAAACAACAAAATCACAAACAAACTTTATATAACAAAATAACAATCTTGAAAAAATAAATAAAAATCCACAAACAAAAACTTGATAAATAAATAAAAATCACCAACAAAAACTTGATAAACAAATAAAAATCACCAACAAAAACTTCATAAATTAATAAAAATCACAAACAAAAACACTTGATAAATAACAAACCCACAATGACCAAATCGCCCCCGCCACTCATTCACAATTGCTCAAATGCTAATAAAGTGTTACGAGGCAAATCACCCGGACAGAAAGCGGTTCATTGCGTTCGCATTGCCTCACGGACCGGCGCGGACAACAGGAAGTCGACGTTTCGTAATGAGGTAGGGTGAGCGTCTCGTTATTTGGTTTAGGTCCGTATCTCGTTTTTCTTTTTTTTCTTTTTTTTTCTCTCTCTATATTTCTTACTTTCTCACTCTATCTTTCTATCTATCTTTCTTTCTCTCTTTCATTCTCTTTCTCTTTCTCTCTCTCTCTCTCTCTCTCTGTCCCTTTCTTTATGTAGGTTTTCATTTTTTTCTTTCTTTTCTTTCGTCTGGGACGAACGAAAATAGACATCTCTCTCCTTTCTTTCTCTCTCTCTCTCTCTCTCTCTCTCTCTCTCTCTCTCTCTCTCTCTCTCTCTCTCTCTCTCTCTCTCTCTCTCTCCCTCTCTCTCTCTCCCTCTCTCTCTCTCTCTCTCTCTCTCTCTCTCTCTCTCTCTCTCTCTCTCTCTCTTGTTCCCTTTCTTTATCTGTGTTTTTTTTCTTTCTTTTCTTGTTTTTTTCTTTCGTCTGGGAAGAACGCACGAAAATAGACATCTCTCTCCTCTCCTCTCTCTCTCTCTCTCTCTCTCTCTCTCTCTCTCTCTCTCTCTCTCTCTCTCTCTCTCTTTCACTTTCCCTTTCCCTTTGTTATCTATTTAGTTTTTATTTTTTTATTTTCTTCTCTTTTTTTATTTCGCCCAGGAAGAACGAAAATAGACATAGTGGGCATCGAAAGAAAGAAATATCATACACAGTATCTTCTTGCGACATCTGTCTCGTCTCCTCTCGCCCACCTTCGCCTTCGTTTCATATTCAAATAATAATAATAATAATAATAATAATAATAATAATAATAATGATGATAATAATAATAATAATAACAATAATAATAATAACAATAATAATAATAATAATAACAATAAATACACAGTTACAAAAAAAAAAAAAAAATACCCTGAAACAACCGAAACAAGGACCCATACTATTCCTGAAAAGAAAGCTCAACGAAGCGAAGAAATATACTAAGACAATAATAAAAGAATAAACAACAAATAGGTCCTTCACCGCCCTTTAACTTAAAACACTAATAAACCAGAACAAACCAAATAAACTAAACTGGGATAAAACCCTCCCTCATTCCCTATGACCGACCTCCGTTCTGCTGCTGCTGGCTTGCGAAACCGTATCCAGTGGTGATGCCTGTTTAAAGGCGCCCCACCCTAAGCAATACTCCTTCCCCATTGAAGAGCGTCTCGAAACACCCTAATGTATATAAATGTCACTTTTTGCTCGTCACTATCACGGTTCATTTCCAGTCCCATTGTGCATGGTTGATTAGAAGAGGGTAAGGATTCACTGTTAACAAGGCGGTGTGCTCGTCTTCGAAATTTGGTTAATGTTTGGAGGATGTTCGAGGGCAGTTGTTCTTAACCAGGGGGGGAGGCGTCGGTTATTCCCAAGGGGGATACAATTCCTTGGGGAAAAGGTAGGAATTTCTCTAGTTATATTTGTTATTCTCTTAACGAGACCAGGGTTAAATAATGATAAGTTTAATGATAACTAATTCATACTCAATAAAAAAGTCGAAGCATATATTCATGATTTTCTTTAAAATCTGGGAGGGGTTCTTATCCACAGATGCAAAGGGGGCGTAGTGGGAAGGACAAACTCCTAAAGGGGGCGTGGTGGGAAGGACAAACTCCCAAAGGGGGCGTGGTGGGAAGGACAAACTCCTAAAAGGGGCGTGGCGGAAAGGACAAACTCCTAAAGGGGGCGTAGTAGTAAAAAGGTTAAGAACCACTGCTCTAGTGGGAAAGTTGGGCCGTTGGAAAGGGCCCTTAGGTTCTCGGGATTGCATTACGCAGTTCTACCTGTTGTGGTACTCAATAGATTATGAAACAAGGACACACACACACAGAAACTCATTCACTCACTCATTTACACACACACTCACTCACTCTCTCACTCTCTCTCTTTCTCTCTCTCTCTCTCTCTCCCCTCCATCCTTCCCTCCCTCCCTCCCTCTCTCTCTCTCTCGCTCTCGCTCTCTCTCTCTAGCAGAATATCAAAAGAGGGACATATCTGCTTCTACGGTTCTCTTCACAAGAGCACATATTGATGTATGGATTTTGTACAGTAGTCTATCCTCTTATATTTACTGTATTTATCCCTCATTTTTTCTTTCTGTTTTTCTATAGTACAGACACCTGCTATTAATTTATAATAGTTATTTGTATTCCTTAAACAATCTCTGAAAGTCGCAATAAATACTGACAATTTAATCCCCGGGGAAAAACAGTAATCATATTGAAGATGATGATAATGATGACGGTTCTTGATGATGATGATGCAATGATGATGATAATAATAATAACAAAACAACGATAATAAATGATAAAATGAAGGAAAATAATAATACGAAAACAGAAGGTACCACATCCAAGAACCTGTTGTGATACGTTGTGTTTCTTCTCCAGCACAAGTTAGACAAAAAGTGTGATTCAATTACGGCACCAAGCAGGCCACACGCCTCTGTTCCTTTCGCTTCAGGAAAAAAAAATCATGGATATGTTTTCAATCCAAACAACTTACGATCACGGCTTGTTTCTCTGAAGCATTTCGGTGGAATCGTGTATGTAAGATATTTAATGATTATATTTATTCTATTTTCTGTTTGACTTTGGAACTACCTCTGGTCCTCTCTCTCATTCTTCCTCTTGTTCTATCTATCATTCTCTTCCTTTTCCTCTCCCTCTCCCTCCCCCTTTTATCATCTCTTACTTCCTCTCTCCCTCTCCCTTTCACCCTCTCTTCCTCCACCTTTCCTTCTCATCCTCCACTTCTCTCTCTCATCCTCTCTTCCTCCCCCTCTCCCTCTCATCCTCTCTTCCTCCCCCTCTCCCTCCCTTCCTTCCTCTCTCCCTTCCTCCCTCCCTCCCTTCCTCCCTCCTTCCCTTCCCTCCCTCCCTTCCTCCCTTCCCTTCCCTATCGATTAAACCAAATTTGAAAACCATGTCGACTCTCTCCACAACCTGGACTTAAATGTCAAACTGGAAAGCAACAATTCTCATGTACCTCAAGGACTGTATCCCCCCTCCCCCCTTCACCATCCCCCTTTAACCTCCCCCTCCCCCTTTAACCCCTCCCCCTCTCACACACACCATGAAGTAACTCTTACATCGCGACGTCACAAAAGGGGCAAGAGTGAAGTCCCTCCGAAGAGAGAGAGGCAGCCTCGTGGGAAAAAAATGGTTGGGTGTGAATGACGCGGAAATAGCCAGCGTGGCCGATTGTTGCTTTCTCAAAACGAGGAAATACACACAGACACACGCGCGCACAAACACACACACACACACACACACACACACACACACACACACACACACACACACACACACAGAGTCGGTCTCTCTCTCTCTCTCTCACAGACACACACACACACTTTAAATCCAGTAAGAACACTATGCTTTTCTACCCTAATGAAGATAACGATAAGCTAATGTTACTCCTAAAGCTCACTTAATTACGTAGCTTTTAGGCGAGAAGTTGATATCTTCGCAATGGTTACACTAAAATACACTACACTACAACACAAGACAGTAGATACATTAAAAATACAAAACCGTACCAGAATACATTAAAAATACACCAATATACCAAAATACACTAAAAATGCAGAACTCAGCAATACAACACACTACATTATTTCAGACCAATAACAATACAATTCATTACACCTGAATCTACTACAGTACAACCCACTAAACTAAAATAATATTAAAGCTCACTACTCCAAGAATAACAAAAAGAAAAAAAAAACTACACCACAATAAACGGCAATACAACGCGCTACAACAGAATCCACTAAAACACACACTACGCCAGAATCAACACAAATACCACACTGCACTAGAATCCACTAAATAAAATACAACACTACAACAGAATAAAAATATATAT